CTGGGCAGTAGAGGTGGCATCATGGTCAGTGCCCGCCAATGCTATGTCACTGTAGTGATGTGCTACAGAGCCATAGCATCTTGTGTAAATGGGCATATGTGTAGATTCACCCAGTGTCATCTCATGCCTACGCCTATGTGGGATTCACAAAGCAGGCATCTCCATGTCTAAGACCCCTGAGAGACCTGATTCTCAGGGAAGTTTGAATACATCCCTGATGTACATTCTTTTGTACATATGGGTTTAAATCATTAAATAAGTTTTAAGGAGGGGAAAATCAGTGGAGGAAATTCAGTCTCTACAACTGAACCAAATTCTGGTACAGGTCATGTTATTTAAACTACATTATAGCTTGAGTTAGTTCATTAACAGTATTATGGAGAGCAGGTCACTTAGATGTTGTAATCAGTACTGTAATATAAAGAATGAGCATCAGGTCAGAGAGAGAGGAACACTTTGCTCTGGAAATTATTTCCTCTCGTCTCTGCAGTGGGGAAACGTCATCATTTTCCAGCATCTTCTCCACAACTTTGTCTAGGAAAATGTGTGCAAAACTCCTGTGGGACGCCAGGAACCCAGCAGGGGCTGATGTCCACATTTCATTCTGTATATAAACAAATTAATGACTAATAGCGAACTCAAAGTCTAGGCAGTAGAAAGTACAAAAGCAATTAATAACATACAAATAATAAGAACAAAAATGAACAGAGACTCAAAAACAAGTAAATGCATTGGCTAATGGGTGATGCATTTTCAATATTAAGGTGGCAAAGTATGTCCAACAGAGTTGCAAAACCTGTCTGCCTGAACTTGTTACTGGACAAATTCTCCACTTGCAGGGTTTTTTTGTGTATAAATGCTGAACAGACATCTTGCAGGCAGAAACGGTGTGCAGATAACAGATCTTGACTGTCCCTCTCCCAAAAACTGGAAGAAGATAAATATACTGCTTAAAAATAAGGAAGCTAGTTAAATATGTGCCAAATACCAATGATCAGTTACTTTGACTGCCTTCTGTTTGCTTACCCTCTGTATTTTGCCCATATCCATAATTCACAAGCAGAAAGAGTTCAGAATGAAGGCCTGTAAATTTCTAATTTTGTCTGCAAAGTTATGCCTCCTTTGTCCAAAAGAGGTTCATGTAATCTAAAGGCTGCACTGGCTTTAGTGATTATGCTGGAGGCTTTGTTATGAATCGGCACTTCAGGTAAGAATGCTACCTAGGCAGGTGAATTTAGCTGCATCTTGAAAATGTGCCTTCTGGTAGTGGTGATTCATTGGTAGGGATTATCAAAACCAGGTTGGTAAATAACCTCTGTCTTCCTGAGAGCAGTCCAAAATGTGAGCAAATAGCTGCAAAGTGATACATGATATCTGACATTATCCTGGGATTAGTCAGCTAAACTTTACTAAAACACTGTTTAGCAAAGTGAAGTTCATAGGCAGTTCCTCAATGCCCTTGTTTTTGCTCACCGCCATTTGGGATTAAAAGACTATCCATCAGTACTGAGTCAAATCCAAATACTTGTATCAAGAACACAAAAAACAGCTAGCAGCACACCAGCTAAGAAGACATTTAGTAATGCAGGTACAAGAACAGGGCTTTCTTTTGCACAGTTTGTGCCTGGAAATATATAGGATCTATTCACAGACAACCTATAGATATCATGCTCAGTAGATAAGTGATGTCTTCCTAAAATGCCTCAGAGGACTAATGAAAATAGGATGGCAAGACAGAATTCCTAATACTGAAATCCTTTGGCCAGAATGTATATCAAATATAGGTGCTGTGACTGTGGAGGTATAACTAATATGACCTGGACCTGTAGTTAGCTTGTCTGGTAATTGGCTCCATAAGAAAATCCTTTGTGGAGAACTCTGCTTTGGCAGATGGTCACATGGTGGAAAATGGAAAAATTCATGAATGCAGGACATATTTCAATAAGGTCCATAACATTACCACTCACATCAGGGAGCTGAATACAAGTGTCTTTAGTAAGCCTGAACAGCCAGATCAGCCTGTCTATTCCACTGCACCTACCATTACTGGTGTAGTCAATAACCAGACGTTTCAGGCAAAAATGTGACTTACCGGAGAAACCATTGTTGAATCTCTTACCTGCAGGATGGAAAGTGATCTTTTTTTTTTTTTTAACTACAAAGGATGATAATCTAGTGTTTGTCTCTCTTGACTGCTACTTTTTTTAACTTTCGTATATGTCTGTAGACACTTTTGAACAATTCTGAATTTGTCAACCTTGCCATTTTTGTACTTTGAACTACACTTTTGTTTTTAGAAAGGAAAAGCCAAAAAAGACAGACATATCCACAATATTGGTTTTGCTATCAAGACCTAGATTATTACTCAGATGCAGGAAAGACTGGTTGTCATTGAATGTCTCATGACCCTTGCTCTTCAATGGATCAACAAACAGCATGCAACAGTCATCAGGGGATATGCCCAATCCTTGGTGAAGATGGTGCAACAAAAGAAGAATTCTGTTCTAAACTTGACCGAGTCCTATCATCTGTCCCCCAAGTTTAGACAATTCTTTTTGGTGATTTCAGTTCTGTAGTGGGCTGGGACTCTACACCTATGGAAAGGAACCCTTGGAAAGGAAAGGGTGGGGAAATTCAATTCACATGGAATTCTTCTCCAGAGAAAGTGTTTGGAACATGATCTCATCACAAATTTCTTTTGCTGACCACGCAGCAAATGGAAGACAGCATGGACAACCCCCTGCACAAAACATTGGCACCTGATTAACTACCTCATAGTGCATGCCTGGGACTGTTGCAATGTCCATATCACTAGATCTATGACCAGTGCAGATGACTGTTGGGTGGATCGTCATTTGATACATTTCATTCTGTCCATTTATATCACCCCAAAATGATATAAACAAAAGAAGCAACCAGGTAAGAGGTTGAATATCAAGTGCTTGAAAGACTCTGCTAAAAGCAATAATTTCTAGCAGTGCCTTGGTGAGAACTCTCTAAACTCCCTGATAATCTTGACACCATTGATCACTGGGAGAGCCTCAAAGGCATCCATGAGGCTTGTGAAGAATCTCCAGGCTTCTCCACAAAGAAACATCAGGACTGGTTTGATGAGAATGGTAGGAAAATTAAAGCTCTCACTGATAGAAAAAGGAAAGCCTTCAAAGCTTGGCAGAATGACATCAGCTCCAGACAGAAGCAAGACCTTTGTCACCACATTAAAGCCAAGACCTAAAGGAAAATTCAAGAGTGAAAGGGCAAGCTGTGGGAGATTCAAAAGTTTGTTGACAACCACAATATGCATGCTTTCTTCAGTACAAGCAAAACTATCTATGTGCCAAGCACACAGGGAGCCATCCCTCTTAAGGTCCAAGGATGGAAAAACACTCCTTAAAGACCATCCACCATCAGTGCATGGTGGGTGGAACACTTTCAAGAGCTCCTGAACTGAGGCTTTAATGAAGAATGGCTTGGATGGTAATGTCTGAAACAGCACCCCAATAAACACTACCTTGCAGATTTACCAACTTATCAAGATGCCTAGGAAGCCATGTAGAAGGTAAAGAACAACAAAACATATAGTTCTCATGGAATACTAACTAAAATGTTATAAGGAAGGTGGAAAAAAGCTCTTACCAACTATACACATTGTTATTATGCAAATCTGGAAACATGAATGGATTCCCAGTGACTTGAGAGATGCCAGAACTGTCACCATATTCAAGGATGGAAATAATTGCAGAAATTGTCATGGTAGTGCACTCCTGTCCATAGCTGCGAAGATCTCACCCACATTCTCATCAGTAGAATCACTTTCCTCACTGAGGAGATTCTGTCTGAGTCTCAGTGTAGTTTCAGATGACTCAGAGGTACAATAGATAAGATCTTTGTTACTAGACAGCTGCACGTGAAGTGCCTTCTTATTGACTGCTTAAGGCCTCTGATTTGATCAGAGCCCCTATGGAAGATCCTTTGAAGATCCTTTCCTGATGAAATTTTGATGTTTGAATTTGTTACCATTATTAGACTTCTTCACAATGACTTGACAGTAACTGTCCTAAGCGATGAGTCTTCACTATTAGAACTGAAATCAAGCAAAAATAAGTGATTGCAGCAACACTTTTTCATCTATATCATAGCTATTCCTTATCTCATTGCTGATAGACTTTCATCTGGAATCAGCATCCAGTATGGACGGGAATCTCTTTAACATCAGCCAGTTACTTTCCAATTCCAAAATAACCAACACCTCTATTACTGATCTTCAATATGCTGATGACTGTCATATATGTTCACTCATTTGAAGAACTGCAGATCACTTTTGCTTCTGTGAAGGGTATGAAATGCTTGGACTCGCTGTCAACTTCATAAAACCTAAGATACTTTACCAATCCACCCCCAACCAACCAGCTGACCCTGCTCACATTAAAATTAGAGGATAATCCTTGGAGAATGAGCATTTTCTCTACATGGGTAGCTAGCTTTTCCAAAAAAAGTAATCATAGACAAAGATATTCACTACCACATCAAATCTGCCAGTGCTCTTTGATGATCATGACATCAGGACACAGACCAAACTTCTTATCTACTAGGATGCTGTCATCCCTACCCTGTTGTGTGGCTGTGAAACTTGAATGACATATCGGATATACCTGAGAGCTTTAGAACATTACTATCAACAATGTCTCCAGAAAATCCTCCAGATCAATTGGAAGGATAGAAGAAACAGCAGCATTCCAGCTCAAACACACACCACCAGTGTTAAAGGCATTTGGCATGTTTATATGGCACTGTAACAGCCTGTATGTTTTCAGGGGATGCAGCCAGCTGAAGCCAGTGAGCGACTGATTGCAGTCTTGCTGAAAAGACTAGCCCAGCTACAAGCAGCAAAACCTGATTACAGGCTGCCTAGGGAATGGGAGCAGCTGAGGCAGATAGCTAGGTGGCATCCAAGCAGCTAAAAGGGTTCTCAGGGAACAGAGCCAGGTTGGTCAGAGAGAAAGACAGAACTGTGGCCTGGAAGCGAGAGAGCTGCAAGTGAGAGTGGAGTGTCAAGTAGGAGAGGACCAGCAGGTGAGCTCACGCAGGAGTCGGGATCATACCAGGAGTGCCTCTCTCCTAGAGGATTGTGAGTGCAGCAGAGACTAAGTGATCCTGTCCTGTGGCTGAAGGGACCAGAGGGACAACGGAGAGAGTGGGCAAGCGGCAGCAGACTCTCTTTGGGTTTGGGAGAAGACCCCATGTGGTACAGAGTTTGGTTTACAGGCTGAGTTGTTTATGTTGACTCCTGCCGGGAAGAAGTTTGCCCCTGGGGAATAAAGATACTAGGAAAGATGGTGAATGAACCCAAAAGACTGTGTTTTTTGAGTGAGCAAATTCCTGAATCTGCTACAGGCACCAGCTCTACCGGACAGGACATGTCATGACAATCAGTTCCCAAAACAGGTCCTGTGTGTCCAACTCATCAATGGTCCTTGCTGCAGAGGTGAGCAAAAGAAAAGATTCAAGGACACTTTGAAGGCCAATCTGAAGAAATGTGATATTAACATCAATACCTGGGGGACTCGAGCACTGAACTGTTCCCAGTGGTGCTGTGATGGATGAGGCATCAATCACTTGGAAGCCCACAGAGAGAGTGAGAGAGACAAAAGGAAAGAGCTGTGACTTGATGTTATCAATATCTATTCCTCCCTTCTGGAACTACTTGCCACACCTGCAGTCAAGCGTGGATCTTGGATTGAATCTGTCAACTGTAGAAGTCACTGGTGACTTCCATATTCACTGGGAGACTGTCATCCTTGTATTGGGGGACTAGTGCACTGCCATTTCAGTGGTCCCTTGATATGTCATCCACATCATTTTCACTACCACCTCTACTAGGTTATAGGAGCTTTGGTGAGGTGGTTCAGCACAAGGCCTAGAAGTGGACTCTATTTTGCATGTACGTCCACCTGCTTCTGGCTTTGGCACTGTGGTAACACAATGCTCACCTCCCCAGCCCCAGCCCTAGCACTGGCATAGGACGTGTGTCAGGACACAGCCAAAGGAAAGAGGGGATGGCTGAAATTAATGGAAAAAGACCGTATGCCCATTTTATCTGTGCATTCCTGTCCAAAACTGTCCATTTTGACCATTTGCAGTCCCTTTGTACCCCTGAACATTTGTGGGGAGGCTTGAGGAAACATATTGATTATAAGCTTTTTTTTTTTCCCCCCTCTTTCTTTTTGAGGAGACGGGTCATTTGTTGGGCAGATGGTTTTTGTGGAGAAATTGAAAGATTATTTGCAGCTGTGAAAAGATGGGTATCTGAATAAACATACAACCTTTGGGGATTCATGATTTGTGTGGAGGAGCAGACAGCTGTGGGAGGAAAGTGATTTCAAGGGCCCAGTAGTTACAGGGAGAGAGAGTCGGTTGTTGTTTTGTTGCCTTTTACCAGTTTTCTTTCAGCAACAGGGATTGACTCCTCCTGTCCCCTGGGCTCAGTGATTTACAATACTAAATAAGCTTGTGGGAGGTGGCTCTAGTGATCCTAAGGTTTTTCCTGCCTTTGGAGAGCAGGCACACATGTGCATTCTGCCAGTTGCTGAGCAGAAGGTTGCAGCTCCACAGCTGGCTCTGGTTTATGTTGGTGTTTAATACATCTACCTTGAAAATGAAAAGGCTTGATTACTGAGCACAAGGACTCCTGGCTTCTTTGAGAACTCCACACCAATGATGCCATAACGGGGTCTCTGCAGTAAGTGAGAGCATAAAGCCAACTAGCTCCTCGCAACCATAGCTGCTGCCTGCTCATGATTCCTTAGCTGTGCTCTCCTCTCTCACTTGGATAAAACAATGACCCCTGTAATGCATCATGGATCCCGATTCCTTTCCAGCTGTGTCATCTTCAGGACAGTCAGCTGGGGCAGATGCTTCCTCCGTAGCCATCCACCTGAGGAGAATCTAGGACCAGTGGTGAGTTCTTTCTTCTCATGTTCTCCTGACCCATAGTTCTTCCCATGGGGAATCCTCTTAGCCCCTCCATACAAAATATATAGCTGTCCTTAAGGCCCTCGTCTTCCCTACTGCCCATGGGTAAATTCTTTCGCAGAGCGCCCTGTCAAGCTAAGGGAAGATAAATCTACTTAAAGCTTCCTCTCTTCCCATAAAATAGTGTGGTTGCCTCCACTGCTGAGGGAAAGGGAAACTTCCTCTCACATTCTCTCTGTGCAGATGGCAGATGAGAGAGAGAGAGAGAGTATAAAATTCTGGTTGCCAGAAATGTCTCTTTCTAAATCTGGATTATATTCCCTAGCACAAAGCACACCCTACTTTTTCTCAAATATCCTAACACCAGATTATGTAAATTTCAGTTTTACACCTTCCTGTGAACATCTCCCCTACCCAGCAACTCTTCTCCATTATATCATTCCTCTGTTTTGTCCTGCCACACTTAATGGCTGCTACAAGGCTCTCTCATTACCTCCACTAATTTGGAGGTAAATATCTGTGCAGAGACGACCCTTGAGCAAAGTGATTCTATTTCTGTATAGATTTTTATTTTTGGATAACTGAAAAAATATGCACAAGATGCAGTGTGTTTATACAAATATAGCTAAGCTTCTAACTCCTAGGAACAGTATGAAAGCTTTTTGTGCCAGAGAAGATTAACAAAAACCCAAAACAAAAAAACCCACTTTTTTATTTTTCAGTTTCATAAAGTATGGGTGATTTTAGGCTGACTAATCCTCCCCTGTTTAGGCTTCCTTTAGAATCTATCAGATTGCTGGGATTATAGCTGTTGCAATCCAGTAATATGTTGTTTGGCTGGCAACAAGCTCCTTACCCTGGAAACACTCCAGCTTGTTTGGCCTTATTTAACCTTCTTTTATTTACTTCAGGAGACTGTAATTGGTTTAGCAGCATTTTCACTGGCTATCCTTGGACCAGCTGGATGGTTCCTGTCCCACCTTCAAAGCTATAAAAAGAAAGAGAAGACAAATACTTGAGTCCTCCGGTTCATCAAATCAGCTGTAAATATCCTTACCTGAGACCTCTTTAAAGGGAAAACTTCAACCTAAAGTCAAGACAACTTAAAACATATTTAAAAGCAGTTTCAGACTTTGCAGTCACTGCTGTGTTGCTGTGTGATTCACTTACACAAGCATAATTAATATGATGAATTAAATTGGGGCTGTCCATTTTCTGGCTGAGGGCTGTTGGCAACCTGGGCAAACACTGCATGGGCCACATACACCTGGGCTGCAGGTTTTCCTGTATAGCAAGAGGAGCAAAAAGGGGTGCAATGACTAGACCAGGAGCTTGGGGGCCACCCTTTGCTGCCATATGCTTACAGGCTGCCAGTTGGAGAGCCCCAAATTAAATTCCCAGTCTTGCAAAGCCTCATGCACATGCTCAATATCAGGCCCTAGGAGATGGCTCATAGGACTGGTTCCACTGAATATGAATAAATACATACTTAAGTCTTTGCAGAATTGGGGCCTGAATGAATGGTGGAAAGTGACATATTGTGGTTTGATTGAAGTGGGCTTGGTTCCAGGCATTTCCACTGGACTTGCATAGACCCCATCTGCATTTGGCTGGAGAGGTGTCAGAAGTGCAAGGTGAGCAAACTGGAAAAAATGTATAGAAAAATCATGCTTTTCAAAATCATTCAGTTTTACTCATCCTAAAGGTTATCTATAATAAAAGGAAAATATATTGAGAAAAAGGGGGATTTTAATGTTAACTTTCTCTTTAGTTGTCTGTATTATTGTGGTTTCAGGAAAAAACAAACAAACCTTGTACTTTTAAACGTAATCTGCAAATTACAACTGCCAGAAGTTAGCAGCAATTTCAGTTTGTTTTAAACATTCAGGTTTTTCAGGTATGTGAAAAATCTGGCCATGTTTGTTTATAATGGATCATGTTGTAAATACTTTTAAATGTAGTCTCCGTTTTAAATAAATAACGCGATGATTCAAATTGTCACACTTTCATGTTACTATTCTTTGTTGAAGAGATTCTCTTTAATGATTATATTCTGGTTTACAAAAATATGGAACGCCTAATAAATTGACTAGAATATGTTTTATAATATGGCTTATGATTAGACAATCAAGGGGCCTGACAGTGTTAGCCTAATGTGACTATCGGAGCACCTACAAGACAACTCACAGTAACTTGCAAACAGCTTTAGAGAGAAGGGTTTCATTGCAATTTGTTGTTTAGTTAAATGAAAATATAAATTTTTAGTTCACTTCTAAATAATGCTCTTCAGTAATGCTAAAAAGTATCCTTTCTACCACCTTAAATGCTTTCAGACTTTTCAGAGTTGGTAGAATGGAAACACTTCAATGGTTTAAAAATAGAGGTGCTGTCTTTTTTTCTTGCAGAAAAATACAGCTTTTGCCACTGTAGACTAACAGCCTGATCCAAAGCTTATTGATGTCTAGTGAAAGATTCCCATGGATTTCAGTGAGTTTTGGGGACTTTATTTTTGATTACCAGAGAACAAATCATGATCAGATGAAAGCAGAAAGATAGCTGCAGGACACTGAAAAGCAGTTGTTTCCAGGTCACTTGGGAATGATCTTTTCCATTTGTGCTCATCTATACAACTAAAGGAGTTTGTCTTTTAAAACTTCTGCTGTCTATGGGCACTTGTACATGTGACGAAAATTGCCCATTTTTGTGGTTTAATTGTGTCCCACTTTACATGTAGGGTTTTTTGTTTTGTTTTGTTGCTATTTAAATAAATTTGTTAGATTGCAAACTAAACCACATCCCCATGTACTCTTAGTTTGCAAGGTACCAACTTGTAACATTGCAGCCTTTAATCTGACTGCTCACCCGGCCATGGGAAAGGCGGGCTGAAGGCAAAAGTGGCAATCCCCTTTTTTTTTTTTTTTCCTTCATGGAGCCTGCCCACCTCTCCCAGGGCCAGGGGGTGAGCTACCATTGGGCTGAGAGGCCCCTGAGCTGCAGGGGATCCTGGTCCTTCCCTCCATGGTGGTAGCACCCTCAGCTTGGAGGCATCTGATCCAATGCTTCCCTGAGCCCGCCTGAGCTTCCAGCACACACATGCACTGTCCCTGCTGTCTTCCCTGGCTGCCAGCACACCCAGCCACCCTCTTGCTGCTTCCCTGTGTTGCCCCAGGGGCAAGGCAGCCCATTCTTGGGTGGTCCCAGGTGGTGGGAAGGTGTTGGGGACAGTGCATGGGGCAGTGCTGCCTCGTTGAGCCTGGGGAAGAGTTGGATCTGGCAGGTGCTGCCTCCAAGCTGGGGCAGCATCTGGCCCACTAGAGCCCACCAAGGTGGCCCTGGAGGGCCACGGGCACTGGCACTGTGGAGGGAAGGACTGGGGTCCTCTGCAGCTAAGGTCCTGCTGGCATCTTGCCCCCCAGCTGCAGTCATGCTCTGCGAAAAGAAAAAGGATCGGCCCCCTTGCTGCTTTCTTTTTTTTCCCCCAGCAGAGTCTGCCCATACGAACTGCAGGTAGACTGAGCAACCCCTGAGCTGTGGGGGGCCCCATTCCTTTCCTCTGTGGTTGTGGTGCTTCCAGCTTGGAGGTGCCTGATCTAAAGCTTCCCTGAGCCTGCCTGGGCTTTCAGCACACTGTGCACCATCCCCACCACCTTTTCCAGCTGCCAGCACGCACAGCCACCCTCCTGGTACTTTCCCACACTGCCCCATGCAAAGCAGCCCATTCCTGGGTGGTCCCAGGCAATGAGAAGTTGGTGAGGACAGTGCATGGGGTGCTGCTCCCTGGGTGGGCTCAGTGAAGAATTGGATCTGGCGGGTGCTGCCTTTGAGCTAAGGCAGCATCCGGCCCACTAGCAACCCATGTGGGCAGCCCCGGAGGGCACTGCTGCTGTGGAGGGAAGGACCGGGGCCCCCTACAGTTCAGGGATGGCTGGCAGCTTGCCCCTCAGCTGCAGGCAGGCTCCATGAAATTTTTAAAAAAAGGATTGGGCCCCTCATTGCCTTTTTTTCCCCCGGTGGAGCCTATCTATGTGAGGTGCTGGTGGGTTGAGCAGCCCTGAGCTGCTGTAGGCTCTGGTCCTTCACTCCACAGCAGCAGTGCCCCCTCAGGCTGCATGGGTGGGCTGCTAGTGGGCCAGATGCTGTCCCAGCTCAGAGACGGTACCTGCCGGATCCAACTCTTCCCCAAGCCCACGTGGGAAGCAGTGGCCTGTGCACTGTCCCCTGCCACCTGGGACTGCCCAGGAATGGCAAGAGGGTGGCTGGGTGTGCTGGCAGCCAGAGAAGGGGGCAGGGACGGTGCACAGCGTGCTGGAAGCCTGTGTGGGCTTGGAAATATTGGATTGGATGCCTCCAAGCTGGGGTAGCCCCCTGCCTGCTAGGAACCTGTCTGGATAGCTCCGAGGGGTGCTGCCACTGCAGAGGGAAGGACCGGGGCCCCTGCAGCTCAGGGGCTGCTTGGCCTACCAGCAGCTCACCCCTCACCCCAAAAGCCGTGGGAGAGGTGGGCAGGCTTCACAAAAAAACCCAAAGAATTGGGCCCCTCTCCATAACAGTGATGGAAGTCCCTAAATTGAAATGGTTTTAAATTTAATTTAAACCCCCATCATGTGTAAAAGCACCCATCAAACCATTGGTTTTGTTGTTGTCTTGTTTTAAACGTAATGATTTTGTTGCAAAGAAAGATGAGACCAGAAACAATGTACAGATAAGTTTCTGTATTGTCTACCCGCATAAATAGACAGAATATCAGAACAGCAAACTGAAAGACCAAATGGGGAAGTGGAGTGGATATCGAATGAATACCCAAGGTAATGCTGGCGTATTCCACCAACCTTCACTAGATTTTGCAGCTTTGGAATGTAAGACCTATATCCATTGTTTAACAAGTAGCTGGATAGGTTAAGTGACTATCTGTATTTTATGCCACAAATCTACCTGAAATAAATCTCTTGGTCTGCAGACTTGACCTTGTCTTTGTTAACCTTGGACCTTGGTTTCTCTTTTGCATAAAGCTTCTTCTTTTTTTTTTTTTTGGAAGGGGGTAACACCCATATCCTATAAAGTCATTAATTTGGTGTAAATGTTTGCAGGGTTGGGGGCATAACTGTTATTCATATTTCATTTAATATATAAGAACAAACTTCTTAAGATTATGATGTATTTTAGTGAATGCACTTACCTTTAAAGTCATGATAGTAAGCAGAAGGTTGCCTGGGTATAATAACATAAAGGATGTAAAAGTCTCATTGAAACAATGGGAATGGCACTGGATGAAAGCAGTTTCTATTTAACTGTTTAACATTTGGAGACACAGGAACAGAGGGATGTTTATCTTGATGTAGAAACACTTCTTAGAATCTAGAACTGTGATTGAGAGGATTGTTTAAACTTTAAAATATTTTCATAAACAAAAGTATTTCTCAATTTTCCAGCCCATTGTAAATGTTTTTCTCTCAGTAACGCGAATTAGATTTTACAGTTCATTTACAGTACTTAACTCTTGCACAGTATTTTCAGCAATGGAACTTAAAATATTGTAAAAGATCCCAAGCAACATAATCCTCTAAATCCTTGCACAGATGGGAAGGTCCAGGCATAAAAGCCTTTTCCAAGGACATGCAGAAAGTGAGTAGTAGATGGAAATAGAACCCAGGGATTAGACTCTGCCCTGCGTTTCTGCAGTCTGTCATACTGCAGAGGAGTAGGATTGCAGCCTCCAACATAATTTACAGCAGCCTCCCTGCAGCTCCTTCTTTTCCCTTACCCCTGGATATTCTGGGGCAAGAACTGCTGGGGGGTCACCAGAAGGCAGGATTATGGCTCTCTCTCAGGTCCTGCACTGGTAGAATTCTTCCATGACCAAAACTCAATCCTTAGCTGTTCTTTGCATCACTCTGGTGTTTCTGCCAGGTGAAAAGAGGGAGAGCATGGGGAGGTTCCTGTCCCGGTTTTCCTGTCTCCTATCCTCTGAACTGTACTGCTCCAGCAGTTGTAAGGGTAACATTTTTTGATGCTTTCCCTTTCAACTCATAAACTGTTGTTAATGCCATTTTGCACTTTTGCTTACTAATAGAGTGGATTTTGACAGTTCTGGGCAAGACAGGGACAGCGAATACTAAAATAAAAATCAGTGGGCATGTCTGAAGTAATGTGGTATTCCTGAAGGCTGACCAAGCAAATCTGTGCCTTTAAAATAGTCCAAATATATGTTTGTTAGATTTATGCTGGTTTCCTAACATGTTACTTTCTTCTAGTAATCCAGCTGCTGTAGCAGCATACTACGATTTTTTTACTTTTGTTAGTTAATGAAGTTACTATACAGCAATAAGGGCATTTATCATAGATTTTTTTTTTTTTTACTATGACAGATACTGGCAAATGCAATATTCTCTGCAAAACAAATTAAACTTATACCCAAGTTGCTAATGAGGTGACTCACAGAATAAGAACATAGCAAATTTGTAAGCATACCCATGGCATTTCCTGGCGATTATTTTTCCCAAAATCTTAATCATTCATTTTTTCAGGAGGAGACAAGTAAATGTTTATATCATGAGAAGCATTCTCTATGGTAGTGATTTTCAGCTAGTGTGCTACAGCACCCCGGGTTGCCTTGAGATCCTTTCCAGGGTGCCACAGGGTACTATGCAATGTTAGCAATGGTAGGTGTGTAAATGTGATTCACAAGATAAACCCAGAGACTTCAAATACAAATCAATAGTGTTAAAAACATGATCACCTGTTATGGTCTTTCTGAGTAGTTTGAAATAGAAAAATTGCTCTATTATTTTTCTGGAGTCAAAA